AGGATGTTCTCTACAGCCATGGATATGTCTTTGATCAGTCCCATAGTGGACTGAACGTGCTCCTGTCCAGCTTGGACATGTTCTGTAGTGGAACTGGTGGAACTTGCAGTGGATTGGTCAGCATGGCTGTCAGATTGAGTAGAAAGCAGCAGATTCAGTAGTAGAGTAATGCCTTGAGTGTCAAATGAGCTCAGAGCACTCATATCAGTACTGAAGTAAGATTGGTGGATGTTGAGAGCAATTGTGAATCAATCCAGGGACGTTTACAGTTGTGTGAGTAGAATATAGTGGTTCCATTGTTGATTTGCTCAGCTCTACACTTCACACCTAAGTAAAATAGTAAGGTATATGTACTTGTAATAATATAATGCAGAATATATGCACATTTACCTTGGTTCAAAGCTATGTTCTTACAGTATACAAAGTCCTGGAACACTTGCATCATCTTAGCATGTTGAATACAGTCTTGGAACGGTGGTAGCAGGCTCAGTCTTGTATGAGAAGGAACATGGAAGTTATACAAGTATAATACAATGAGATAACACTCTGAGAGTTGTATAGTAGGGTCAAGGGAATTGTTGTAGATAGCCTTGGAGAAAGCTGCAATCTCCTTGAGCTCCTCTTGATCGAAAACGTAGTCAGTACTTGTACTGTGGTTGTGAGTAACCCAATCCTGCATGATTGGTTGTGCTTGAGGGCCAACTAAGAGTTGTAGAGGAGGATGAGGCATATTTGTGCCTTGTAGAAAAGTAGATACAAATGTATGAGCAATGGATTCTTGAGTAGTAGACATGATATGCACAGTAAAGTGACTATATACACAGTTTTTAAAGCCTTTACATATGTCTACCTGTATGTCCATACTGTAGTATTGTGTTTGAAAGGTTGCCTCATGTTTTACTAGACTGATACTAACCTGAGGGTCATCAGTATCGAGTTTTCCCTTTCCTAGAGTTAGTGCATTGATAGAATCAATTCCAAGTATGTCTAAGTATTCCTTTAATGCCTCAAGGTGTGCAATTTTATTATAGGGTAGTCATGTGTGATCTCCAGACTTCCATAGTACTTTGAACAAAGTGGTAGTCCCTTGTCCTACATGAGTTTCAATCAAATCTACTGTCCATTCCTTGTTCTCATTGTTTAATCCAGTAACTTGTCCTATTTCCCTTCCAGGGAATAATCTATCATTGTTTGGAACATGTATCCTAAGTAGTAATGAATGAAATACTGGGTGTATGTTACAATTCCTCATTTCCCTGGGTAGATCTAGTTCAAATGCCTTGTTTCCTGCATTCCAGATTATTCTGTAAGGTCCTATGTACTTTGGTACTAGTTTCCTTGCTCACTGTCTCAGTAGATTCATGTTCTTTGTAGAAACATACACTAGATTGTTTAATTCAAATGAAGAGGGTTGTCTATGTCTATTAGTATGTCTAGTTTGCTTTACCCTTACCTGAAGGATTGCATTGTGTGCCTGTAGTATTGTATCCTTTACTTTCTGAGTGTAAGTCCTTACTCTAGGATATTCATCCTTCCTAGGGTTGTTCTATATCAAGTTCCTTAGCATCCAGCTGTAATTTAGAAAGAATGGTGCATATCCTGTAGTTTCTGACCTTGCAGTATTGATAGCATACTTGATCATAGGTAGTTTATGTATCCAATCCTTTTGTTTAGGAGAAATACACTGTCTGAGCATCTGAGTAATTGTTCTGTTCATTCTCTCAGTCAATCCATTGGTCTGTGAATGATATGTGCTCAATAGCTTCAATTTAATACCTATAAGTTTATGTAATCTTCTCCAAAACGTACTGGTGAATAGGGAATCACAATCACTAACAATGTAATTAGGCAGTCTATGCAGTTTATAGACGTTTTCAAATACTATCTCTGCAATTTCTCTTGCTCTGTATGTTTGCCTAGTAGGAATAATGTGTACCATACTAGTTAATAGACAAATAACTGTACAAATCATATCAAAAGGTCCTAAATGGTTCTTTGATTCAGGAAAAGGTCTAACAAAGTCCATTCCTATGCCTTCCTAAGGCCTATTAGGTACTGAGAGCAGATGTAGTAAACCAAACAGTTTCTGATTGTTAGGTTTGCTGATCTTGCATGTATGACACGAATCACAGTAGGAATTAATGTCTATGATCATATCCTTCCACCAAACTTGTTCTCTAAGGTATGAAAGTGTCTTTCACAGTCCTAAGTGTGCTAAAATAGAATGTGCATGCTCTATTACAATTTACCTAGCGTTTCTGTTGTGTATTAGAATTCTAGGTATGCAAAGTATGTACCTCTCACCCTCCTAGCGAAATATGAGTCCATTTTTGACATGAAAATTCTGGAAGTGCTTCGGATCTTGTAATATCTGATTAAAGAAGTTATCCTCATAATATCTGCCTTTGAGACATTCTGGGAATTGTAAATCCAGTGAAGATTGAGCTATAATATCAGGTAATTGAGGTTCAATCAAGTTCCAGAGTTGATCAGTAGTGTTCTTTAGTACTGGGACGTTCTGATCATTAATTTCTGATCTAATATCATTGTCTGAATGTCTGTATCCTTACATATTACTTCTGGTGTCTGGTACATTTGCAGGTGAATTTATTTCATACAAATCCAATTGTTCAGTGTTCTAAGGCAGCATTTCTGATACCTTACTGTGTGTGTCTGTTTCCTAATCTTGCTCTGTGTTCTCTGGTATTGTAAACCAGCTTCTAGTCCTTGTAGCAGGCCTGCCCTCTGTTTGGAGGTCTGTCTGTGAGTTTCTGGCATGTCTGGTAATTAATCTAGCCTTTCTACTGTGCAGTCAACTTGCAATCAATCCTCAAGGTGAAGTTTTCCTTACTGCTGCTAGTCTAGCCTCAATATATACAGTATCCTGTATCTCTAGCAGCTGTGAAATGTTATTCCTGACTTGATTAATCCTTGATAGATCATTGTCATCAAGTTACAATGTATATTCTTACTGAGATCAAGTTGTTCCTAGTAAATCTCCTGAGTATATGTGTGATAACACGTCTGTAAGAATGTTTGTAGTGCCTGGAATGTATTTTACAGTGAAATCAAAGTCTGATATCTTCTCTAGCTATCTGGCTTGTCTTCCACTTAATACCAGTTGCCTTAGAATGTGTTCTAACACTCTGTGATTAGTATACCAAAAGAAATGCGTTCCTTGTAGTAGATTCTTGTGTCTTAGCATAGTTTCTACTCCTGCTAGTAATTCTACATTGTGTACTAGGTAATTCTGTTGTGTAGGGTTTAATTTCGCTGAGAAAAACGCTGCTATCTTGGAATCTTTCCAATCATGACCTTGGCTGACTATTCCTCCAATTCCTGAAGCCAAAGTGTCTGTAACAATGTTGATAGGTGGTGCATTCTTACTATAGTCCAATACTATCCTGTGATTATGCCAGAAATCCAATACTAGCTTTACTATTTGATCAAACACTTGCTGTTCAGTGAATGTCCATCTGAAAAATACAGTTTCTCCTGCAAATTTTGATAAAATACCTGTAGAAATGTGTAACTAAGGTATATTGGGTGCTAAATACCCTACTGATCCTAAGAAACCTTGTAACAAATCTTTATTAGTAGGTACTTTCCATTGTTGAATAGAATCGACTTTATGAGGGTCCATTCTAATGCCTTGATTGTTGATAATGTGGCCTAGTATCTTCAATTCTTCTGGAACAATTGTAT